GGTAGCAAACACTACCAGACTAGAAGCTTTGTGTGCATAGAGTGAAGTACCAGCATAGATTTTAAATCTCAGGTATCTCAATGCTTTCCATCAACTCTCATTTCTTGTCTCTGAGCTTAGGGTTTTTCCAAGAAAACTGAACTATTTAGTATGCCTTTAGAGTAAATACAGTCTTTTCCCTATGTTTGGTTAGAGGCTGTCAGTATTGATTTTTCTTTTTTCCATTGTATGGCTGTATCTAGATTATATGTTGCAGAAATACTTCAAAATTTCTGGTCCTTTGATGGTACCTGTCTTAGGCTGGTTTCTTTAGAGAAACAAAACCAGTAAAGCATATAAATATAATATACAGAGAGATTTACATCAAGGAGATGGCCCATGCGGTTGTACAGGCTGAAACATCCCAAGTCTGCGCGTCAGGATAGAGGCTTCTCCTGATTCACATAGCTGCAGGGGCTGGTGAACCCAAGATGAGCAGGTCAGACAGCAGGGCTCTTGCTCACAGTCTACGAAGATCGACAGATCCCAAGATTGGCAGGCAAGACAGCCAGTAAACTGCTAGCTCAAGTCCCAAGAACTGGAGATCAGATGAACAGGAGCCAGCTGCAGGATCTAGAGCGAGCAAGCCTTGCTTGAAAGTACACTTATATTTGATGCAGACCACATCCCCAAGAAAACTCCCTTTCAACTGGCTACTCACAGGAGATTCCATCATGGAGGTGATTGCTTTATATCAGATCTCATCATGGAAATGATCACATCATCCTACGACTGTCAAACTACATAACTGCCCAGCTACTGAGAATCATGGCCCATCCTCTTCTCTGTTTTCTAGTTCTGCTAAGTGGCTGTGTACTTGTCCATATTTTTTAAATCTTCCTTTTATCATTTTAATGCATGTCTTTTTAAATGGGTTTTAATTGAATAAAATTTACCTTTTTGTTACGGTTTCCTTAGTAAGTTCTTTAAGGACTGTATTATTCAGAAAAGCTAAATTATATTCATGATAGTGTGTCTCAACTCACTCCATCCTCTCATTACCTTTGTATAATGATCATGTCATGTTTGAGGGTGACTTATAGATACTAAAGGACTAGTTTGGTTTTGTTTTTTTAAGAGATTTTCCTCAACCATTTTTCTCAGGAATCAACTTACAGGTTTTAGTTACAAACCACCCAATATAATATTTTTTTAAATTCATGAAGTAGTCAGTGTGTTCCAGTTCTATTTATTTTTATTTTTTAATTTTGTGCCTATTTTTTTCCATCTTGATTAGCATTCATTCATTTTATTCAAAAATACTTATTGAGTGCCTCTTCTATACCAGGCACTATTCCAAGTGCTGAGGGTGTAGTACTGAATAAATAACACAGACAAGGCCCCAGTGGGGGAGACAATAAATAGACAAGAAAAATACCAAATGCTGCTAGCTGCTGTGTAGAGAATTAAGAATGTTATGATAGAGAGGGTCTAGGTGACTATTTTAGCTCAGGGAGGAGTTCTCTTAGGAGGTGCTATTTTGTCTGAGACCTGATAAGAAGGTAAAGGCCCTACAGTAGTAAGGAGATTGACCTGGATCAGCAGCATAGAAGGCCAGTGTGGCTGGAGCAAAAGTGAATGATGAGAGCAGTAGGAGATAAGGTAGAAGAGGTAGGCAGGGGTCAGATCATGTAGTATTATGTAGGCCAGGGTAAGCTGCTTGGATTTATTTTAAGTCCTATAGGGAACCTTTAGAAGATTTTCAGCAGGGGAATGACATGATCTAGTTTACATTAACGTATAATCTAGAAAGATCAATATAATGGAGAAAATCAGTCCATGCTGAGAGCCTCTTACCAACATAGGCAAAAGATGCATTTACTACTAAAAACAAAAAACAAAAAAACACCAAACCCTTTGCCGTTGAGTCGATTCCAACTCATAGTGACCCTATAGGACAGAGTAGAACTGCCCTATAGAGTTTCCAAGGAGCGACTGGTAGATTTGAACTGCCAGCGTTTTGGTTAGCAGCTGGAGCTCTTAACCGCTATGCCACCAGCATTTACTACTAGGGCATACTAAATAGCCCAGTATTCCTGGAAAAACCCCAAGCTCAGCGACAAGAAATGAGCCAAATTATCTTGTTTTGAATCCCAGCTCCACCATTTACTGTGTACCCTTCAGCAAATTATGACATCTGTCATTGGTTGCCTCCTCAGTAAAATGAAGATAATAACAGTACCTACCTTATGGGATTGTTGTGAGACTATAACAACTTAATATACATAAAGTGCTTAGAGCAGTGCTTGGCACATAGTAAGACATTGATGTTTAATTTTATGATTCATTTCCTCTAGAACTAGGCTGTCTAAATTTGGTAGCATTTGGTTAGTGTGACTGAGGAACTGAATTTTTTATTTAATTTAATTTTAATTACATTTAAAATTAAAAACTGATCCTCAATTCATGTATTAGATAATTTTTAAGTATTTTGGAACAACTTGAGTATGTGAATCTTCTTTTTCAACTGTAAATTTTATGAAATTGAAGTACAGATCAAGTATTTCTGATGAAAATTTAGCAGCTGAATCAAGATATGCGATATGTATAAATACGTACCAGATTTTGAAGACTGAGTATAAAAAAGAATGTAAAGTATTTTCTTTAATATTTTCCATAGTAATTGCATGCTGAAAAGAGATTTTGATATACTACTGAATTAAATAAAATACATAATTAAAATTATTTTCACCTGTGTCCTTTTTAAATGTGGCTAATAGAAAACTTAAAGTTACAATGTAGCTTGAGTTATATTTCTATGGGCAACACTGCTCCAGACCCTGGATCAGGGGATGGACAGTGCTCTGGAGAAGCATATGAACTGGGAAGCTACTTTTTCTAATTACACACATAACCCTGGAGATTCCAAAACACCCTCATCCACTGGAGCCTCCTTTCCCATCACATTGATCCTTCCTCCTTGCTGAAAATAAATTCCTTTATTGAGCCACATTCCTTAGATGTGTCAGAGTTGAAAAAATATTTTTAATCACTGCTGTATGCTAATATTGCACAAGTTAAACACGTATCAATGATTTTGATGAAATAAACTTCTGGAGTTCTCTAGACTAGTGCTAACATATAAAATTATTCTTTGAAATAAAGTCTACCACTAATCCTGGTCCAGTGAACCACAGAGATTTAAAGTGAGGAAAAACTGAAGTAGATTTAACTAAGGAATGAATTGCTGGGTCAGAAGTTAAGGAAGGCATCTGGTGTTCTAAAGCTGAATTTCTGAAATAAATGAATTAATAAAGCTAAGCAACCATAAATTTTTATAAAATGAAGCTGGACATATGTTTTTTTTTCCTTCTCATCCTTCTTGGTCCCTGCTAGTTCTGTGGTTGTATACAAAGGTTATCTAACTTGCTTAAAGAGGCATTAATCTCAGGAGTTAGCATGAAGAAGTTCCTAGTAAATAATGAATGACCGTTAGGAAATGGTACCACTCTTCTGCCTAAGCTGTTTGGAATGCTTCTTGTGTATTCTTTATGCCACATCCCCCAATTTTTTTTTTTTTTTTTTAATCATTGATATACCTTTGGTGAATACAATATTCCACAAGTTATTTCTTCTTTACTAAGTCAGTTTGCTAGAGAATAGAGCCCTTTCCTGAGATTGCTTTGCTGTTTCAGGTTCACTTAAGACACGTTACATTAGAAACTTCTTTGTAGTCTTTGTGGCCCTTATTGTACCTGTCTCAATAGTCCAAGCAGTTGAGGGCTTAATCTGCTCTCAAGGCTCTATGTCTAAGGAGGTATAGTTTTCCATACACAACTCTATCCTGTTAGACTAGTAGGATAAAGTTGATTTTGATATCTCTGGTACTTTGTAGCATAGACATCTTTCAGAAGTCTGCTTGGGCAGTATGTGAACTGATAACAAATGGTAAATGGGTTAATGGTCTCCTATCAGTCCCCAAAGCCATATGAGTCTGACCTCAGATTTTCATGTTGTGACTATGAAAAGCTTTTATTAAATGGCTCCTGTCTGCAGATGGTGACATGCATTCACCTCTTCACTCCAGGGAACCCTGGGGAAATAAGTCATTCCTGGAAGCTCAATGTTCTGGAAAGCTACAGGTTTGTTCCATTATACATTGAAACTTTATTTTTTTTAAATCATTTTAGTTGGAAATTACTCTAAAATGGATTATACTCTTTTTTTTTTAATTTAGTTTTTCAAGCTTAATTTGACCTTTTCTTGGTGCCCAGATCCTCCTTCTATCTCTGTCTCTGTGTGTCTCTCTGTGTGTCTCTTTGTGTGTGTGTGTGTGTGTGTGTAAAGGAGTTTATCAAGTTCATCATCAGTATCAAAATTTAGAAGACATTTAAGTGTGCAGGTTGTACAAATGTTAGACATAATCTATATAAAAGTCTGTGAAAAAGTCTGTGAAAAGAGTTAAAAGCCCTTTATGGATATAAAATATCATTAATAAATCAGACTTTGATATTGAATGTCTAACATGCATTCTTTGGTATGATGCTAGAGTCCTTGATATGTTGTATTCCATGGTTTTTTAGTAGTTTATTCCTAACCCTGTTTTTCCTACAAGCTCTTTTTTAGTGCATAATTTTGAAAGAATGTGAAATTTCCAGGAATGCGTTTGTTGTAAAAATGCCTGTATTTAAGTCTGTTGGTCACGTTAAGTTTGAAAGTTGCTGCCCTAGGTAGCTCCTTCCTTGCACTAATAATAATTTCTTACATTTGTGTAGCGCTTGACTGTTTGCCAAGCCTCTGCACATACATATATAGCCAGAGATAACTAACTAGGGGAAGAATTGTCTTGTCGTCGTTTTTAAACTACTGGTTAAGTGGCTGCTAACCAAAAGGTCAAAAGTTCAAATCCACCAGCTGCTCCTTGGAAGCGCTATGGGGCAGTTCTGCTCTGTCCTATAGGGTCACTATGAGTCGGAATCGACTCAATGGCAACGGTTTTTTTTTTTTTTTTTTTTAAGGCAGGCATAATGGAACCAAAGAGAGCATGAACTTTGGAATCAAACCATCTTTAATTTTATTTAGCGTTTTCATTTAGTAGCTGTGACACCTTGGATGCTTTAATTAACCTCTTTTAACTTCAGAATCTCAGATTAAAAAAAAAAAAATTTAAGTGGGAGTAATAATGCCAGAATTGTGGGGTACTTTAAATCAAGTAACAAAGATAAAAGTGCCTAACAGAAATACCATGGATGAATCTCACAAACAAAATGTTGAGTGGAAGGGAGTGGACATAAAAGAGTGCTACTATATAATTTCATTTTTATAAAGTTCAAAGCAGATAAAACTAATCTGCAATGTTAGAAGTTAGGACAGTGGTTACCCTTGGGTAGAGTCGTGACTGGGAGGGGGCACAAAGAGTACTGCTTGGGTGCTAGTAATGGTCTGTTTCTGGGTTTAGAGACTGGTTATACACTGAAAGTTCATTGAGCTTTACACTTAATGGCTTGTGTACTTTTGGTATGTGTATTATACTTTAATAAAAAGTTGCTTGTAAAGTACCTAGCATAGAACCTAGCACGTAGTTGGTTCCCTTTTCCTACTATGGTTCTGTAAGTTAACAACATGAAAGTCTATTTTAACAAAATGGCCTACCCTCTTTTGCTTTTAACTTTCAATTTTCTTTGTTTTGTAATGATTCTTTGCCTCCTAATTCCAGTTTTACACCGAGGCCATGTTTAATAAGTATGTATAGATGTATAATTGAAGGTGTTTAGGTCAGTCAGACCAGGAGAAATTGAATGTCTGACCACTGTGATGTAGGATTAAATCAGGAATATGAATTTTGACTTGATATTATTCTCTGATCTTTGCATGAGTCAGTGATGTTTCACTTTTTAAATGGAGATTTTTCTGATTTGAGTAATATAATTTTGTCTGATGTCAGATTAACTTCATTATTTACTTTTTTCATGGTATGATATTGGGCTTAATCTATTATTTTTTGCACTTTAGATACAAGCCAATTATAATGTACCAGGCTTGAAATGGTCACTGTTATACTCCGTAAACTGAAAAAACCAAACCCATTGCCGTCAAGTCAATTCCTACTCATAGCTACCCTATAGGACAGAGTAGAACTGCCCCATAGGGTTTCCAAAGAGTGCCTGATGGATTTGAACTTCCGACCTTTTGGTTAGCAACCAAACTGAACTCTTAACCACTATGCCACCAGGGCCTAGCAGAAGAAATAACTTATTCAGCTTTTTAAATAGACTTTCCAACAATCTTAAGTTTTTTATAACAGGATTCTGCACAAATTTCCAAGTATACAAGTCTACTTCTACACTTGTAGTACAACAACAATAAGGTAAAAACAATAAGCATAATTCTCTTTCAGTGATAAAGAATCCAAGCAAAAAATGTAAGGTGCTATGGAGTTACACCAAACCTATTGCCATTGAATCGTTTCCAACTTATAGCGTAGGCCCTATTATTTCCATTTTACTGATGCAGAAATTGGACATTTAGTTACTTGCCCTGGTGGCGCAGTGGTTAAGAGCTCAGCTGCTAACCAGAAGGTCAGCAGTTTGAATCCACCAGCCGTTCCTTGGAAACCCTATGGGGCAGTTCTACTCTGTACTATAGGGTTGCTATGAATTGGAATCGACTCGATGGCAACAGGTTATAGATAGTACCATTATCCAAAAAAAGAATATGTTTATCAGTAGATAGTTAGCATGGAAACATGCTGAATGGGAAGTTGTAAAGAAAATTGATTGCAGGTTACATCCAGGACTACTCAGGAAGGGGAATGCTATAACTCAAGGACTAATTTTTTAAAAGTCCCTGTAATACTTGTTGTGTTCTGTTGTGACACGATTGTATGGGGCTATCAAACCCTTATGCGTTGAGATTAGGCATTGGCAAACTATGGCCTGTGAGCCTGTTCCAGCCTGTTGCCTGTTTTTGAAATTAAAGTTTTATTGGAACACAGCCACACCCATTTGCTTCTGTATTGTCTGTGACTGCTTTCATGCTGCAACAGCAGAGTCGAGGAGTTGTGATAGAGACCATATGACCTGCAAAGTCTAAAACATTTATCTGGTCTTTGCTAGAAAAAGTTTACGAGCCTCTGATGTAGACAGATAACTCCCCTTGCTCTGGCTGCACACTGCCCAAGAAATCTTCTGGTTCTCATTTGGATTTTTGTGTAGGTGAGCCTTTAGAGTTAAGTGGCCCTGGTCATGCACCAATGAATATTTTAGTTCACATGGCAGTTGTATTTCTCACAGTAAATTAATAAATTAACATTCTAATTTATACATCAGTGTTTTATGACCTATAAATCTGCCCTCAAGGATCTTTTCCATGTTTAATAGAATCAGGGTTCTGAACCCACAAAACTTGAGGAAAGATCTTGGAAATTGAAAACCTAACCAAATTGCTGCCCTTGGGAAGCCTTGTCTGGGTGACCAGGTTGCTTGTTTCCTCTGATAAAAACCCAGTTTTCCTGCATGTCTCCTTCGATCTACAGCAGTTTGCATTTCTAATTTTTTCTATCTTTTGCTTCTAGATTTCTCCATCTTGTTAAGGAGGAACAATGTCCTATTTGGTATAGCTGATGGTATCGTGCAAAAAATCAGATCCTCGAAAAGGTTAGAACCTGTATTTACACTTAATAGAAAGAGAATTATCCTATAGTAGGCTGTGTATGAATGTATGTATTACAAAAAATGACTAGAGTGAATATAAGAGTCTCACCCTTCCTTACTAATTTACCCTGCAATTTTAATAAATCTAGGTGTCATTATAGCTCTTCATAGTTTGCAAAGTACTCTTCACATAATTATCTCATATAGTCTTCACAATAACCTTATGAAGTAGGTCTGTTACTGTTTCTGTTTTATGGGAACAATGAGGGGTTAAGAGACTTATTCAAAGTCTCGTAACTATTAAGTGCAAGATTTAATCCCAATCTTTTGCCTCTAAATCTCCTTCTCACTACATCACCAGTTCATCATCAATATCAGAATTTAGTAGACATGTAAATATGTAAGTTGTATAAACATTGGAAAGCAGGTATGTAAAAGTCTATTTAAAAGTTAACAGCCCTTTATGGATGTAAAATATTAATAAATCAGACTTTGACATCAAATGTTTAAATATAGTGATTGGCGATTGTCTTAGTTATCTAGTGCTGCTATAACAGAAATACCGCAGGTGGACGGCTTTAACAAAGAAAACTTTATTCTCTCACAGTCTAATAGGTTACAAGTACAAGTTCAGGCTGTCAGCTCCAGAGGAAGGCTTTCTTTCTCTGTCGACTCTGGAGGAGGGTCCTTGTGATGTATTAGTCTTCCCTTGGTCTGGGAACATCTCAGCACAGGAACCTCAGGTCCAAAGGACAGACTGCTCTCCGCACTGCTTTCTTGGTGGTATGAGGTTCCCATGTGTCTCTGCTTCCCTTCCTTCTCTCTTTTATATCTCAAAAGAGATTGGCTTAAGACACTGTCTAATCTTGTAGACCTCATCAGTATAACTGCTGCTAATCTGTCTTATTACATCATAATGATAGAGTTTACAACACATAAGGAAATCACATCAGATTACAAAATGGGACACAATCATACAATACTGGGAATCATAACCCAGCCAAGTTGACATATATTTTTGTGGGACACAATTCAGTCCATGACACTGGTGATATCAGAGAATCCTTGATATGTTGTACACCATTGTCATAGTATAACAAACAAGGCCCTTCAAAAGTTGTTTCCTACCTACTTTTCTAGTCTCATCTCCCCTAATTCTTGTCATTCATCTCTGCAGCTTACTCTGCCCCTTTCCAACTGCTGGCTGTTGTCCATACAAGCTGTCCATTTTTATGTCGTAGTATCTTTGTTGTATATTCACTTTGCCTAGAATGCCTATTCATCTTTCTTCTGACAATCCTAGCTCAACTTCATCTCCTCTGTGAAGTTTTCCTCAACTCCCCAGGCAAAGTTAATCATTCCCTCCTGTTTCCCAGGGAACTTTGTATAGCAAATTTCTATTATAGCAAAAATCACGTTATATTATGATTGTGTGTGACAGTTGCTACCTCCTGTGAGTTCTTTGTGAGCGTGTGCTAGGATTTATTGTCTTTGTGTCCTTAACACCCACTCTTCTGCCTGGCATATCACTAGTAGGCCTAGCTACATTTTGTTTAATGACTAGAATAACAGCTTCAACTCTTTCCTTAAAGGGGCCAGATCTTATCTGTAATCTAATGGAAGATTTACACTAATCTAAATGGGAGACCAACATGTTCAAAATGCGTAAAAGCTTGTAAATATATGTAAATGAATATAGTACATACTTGAGGTAGAATAGCGGAATGATCAGAGCCAAGTGGAGTTATTTAGGGTAGGGTTCGTCTAGGTCAAGGGTAGGCAAACTATGACCCTCAGGCTAAACCCTGTTCACTGCCTGCTTGTGTAAATAAAGTTTTATTGGAACATATGCACACTTATTTGTTTATATATTATCTGTGGCTGCTTTCACCCTGCAATGGCAGATTTGAGCAGTTGCAGCAGAGACCATATGTCCCATAAAACCAAAAATATTTACTACCTGGCCCTTTATAGGAAAAGTTTGCCATCCCCTGCTCTAGGAGATGGGTTTTGAATAAAGATACTCAAAAGAAGAGGAACACAAATTGGTGAAGCATTTAAGTGTGTATCATTGTTATGGATTGAACTGTGTCCCCCCAAAATGTGTGTCAGCTTGGCTAGGCCATGTTTACCAGTATTGTGTGATTGTCCACCATTTTATCGTCTGATATGATTTTCCTGTGTGTGTTAGGCCTACCTCTCTGATGTTAACGAGGCAAGATTAGAGAGCAGTTATGTTAATGAGGCAGGACTCAATCTACAAGATTAGGTTGTGTCTTAAGTCCTCTCTTTTGAGATATAAAAGAGAGAAGGCGACAGAGACAGGGGGACCTCATACCACCAAGAAACAAGATCCAGGAGAATAGCGCGTCCTTTGGACCCGAGGTCCCTGCACTGAGAAGTTCCTTGACTGGTGAAGATTGATGATAAGGACCTTCCCCCAGAGCTGACAAAGAGAAAAAGCCTTCCTCTGGAGCTGACGTCCTGAATTTGGACTTCTAGCTTACTAGACTGTAAGAGAATAAACTTCTCTTTATTGAAACCATCCACTTGTGGTATTTCTGTTATAGCAGCAGTAGATGACTAAGACAGTCATAAAACGATGAAAACAGGCCGTAGTAGTAGATATGCTAGGTGAGAAAGTTCCAGTCTAATTCATTTTGTCGGAGAGAACTATGTCAAAGAGGATGAAATGTTAAGAATACTTTGGATCAAGAAGGAGGGAACATAGAAACTAATGGAAAGAAATTGTCAAGTGAACACTCCGGGCCTGTAGTGACATAATTTCCTAAGTAGGAGCAGGGGATGATAAGGAGGAAATAGCAACAATACCAATTGACATTGATTGTCTACTATTAATGTTTTCTCTGCTTTATATTTTTTAATTCTCTCAACAACTTATGAGTTAGCTGCTATTATTGTCTTTATTTTGCAGGTGAGGAGGCTGAGGCACAAGGGGTTAAGTTACTTGGCCAAGGTTACACAGCTAGTACTTGACAGAACCAGATCAGAACCCAGGCAGTCTGGCTGCAGTGTCTTCATAATAGAGGAAGGGAAATCTGGACATATGTGGTAAAAACACCCTTAAGCTTGGAGTGAGTACTTAGTTTGAGTAATTAGGAAGCGTGCTATCCCAACATGGTAAAGAAAAGATGAACAGATCATAAAAGAGTAATGTTGGAAGGCAGGGTGTCCAATTAGAAGTGAAGAGTTTCCTGCTGTCACCATACTGTTCTCCAAAGAGAACCTCTATTAAACTTTGTTTGTGTGTGAAACCTATTTTTACTGATGGAAATGTGCTGGGATTCCCTCAGGGTTATTGAGACAGAAAAAAATTGAGAATCAATCTTCCCTAAGGCTAAGAGCCACTACCAAACGTGGAAGGGACTTCCTGGGAAGGTGTGAGATCTTCACCACTGGAAGTGTAAGCAGAGAATTGGTAAGGATGTTAGAAAGAAGATTCCAGCATTGACTAGCGTTGGTGAAATTGGAGATGGGGAGGAGGAGGCACTGAACTATGTGACTTTTTTTTTCCATTCTGCCACGCTCTATTTATTGGTGCATTTAGTCCATTTACATTCAGCGTAATTATTGATAGGTATGAGTTTAGTGCTGTAATTTTGGTGTCTCTTTTTTTATTGTACTTTAGATGAAGATTTACAGAACAAATAGTTTCTCATTAAACAGTCAGTACACATATTGTTTTATGACATTGGTTAACAACCCAACGACATGTCAACGCTCTCCCTTCTCGACCTTGGAGAACCTTTTTTTTTTTTTGGTGAAAATATCCACAGCCAAAGTTACACCATTTCAAAAGTTTCTACATGTTCAATTCAGTAACATCGATTACACTCTTCCAGTTGTGCTGCTATTCTCACTCGCCTTTTCCAAATTATTCCATCACCATTATCTTCAACTCACTGCCCCCTAGGCTTCCCATCAAACCTTTTGAGTTGCTCTTGTCAATTTGATCTCACATAGATAATTCTTTTTTTTTTTTTTTTTGTACCTTAGATGAAGGTTTGAAGAACATATAGTTTCTCATTAAACAGTTAGTACACATATTGCCCTATGACAATGGTTAACAACCCCACGACATGTCAACAATGTCCCTTCTCAACCTTGGGTTCCCTATCACCAGCTTTCCTGTCCCCTCCTGCTTTCTACTTCTTGTCCCTGAACTGCTGTGCCTCATTAGTCCCGTTTTGTTTTATGAGGCTATCCAATCCCTGGCTGAATGGTGAACTTTTTTTCGGGAGTGACTTCACCACTGAGCTGAAAGGGTGTCCAGGGGCCATACTCTTGGGGTTTCTCCAGTCTGTCAGGCCAGTAAATCTGGTCTTTTTTTTTGTGAGTTAGAATTTTGTTCTACATCCTTTTCCAGCTCTGTCCAGGACCCTCTATTGTGATCCCAGCCAGAGCAGTCAGTGGTGGTAGCGGGGCACCATGTAACTGTACTGGACTCAGTCTGGTGGAGGCCGTGGTAGTGGGGTCCATTAGTCCTTTGGACTAATCTTTTCCATGTTTCTTGTTCTCTTCATTCTCCTTTGCTTCCAAAGGGGTGAGACCAGTGAAATATCTTAGATGGCTGCTCACAGGCTTTTAAGACCCCAGACGCTACTCACCAAGGTAGAATGTAGAACATTGTCTTTAGAAACTGTGTTATGCCAGTTGAGCTCGACGTTCCCCAAGATCATGGTCCCCACAGCCGTCCACCCAGCAAGTCCATCCCTTAGGGAGTTTGGAACTGTCTATGGAGCTTCCATGACCTTTCCTTGTATAAGTTGTGCTGGCTTCCCCAGTATTGTGTACTGTCTTACCCTTCACCAAAGTTACCACTTATCTATTGTCTATTTAGTTCCCCTCTACTCCTCCCATCCTTCATAACCAACAAAGATTGTTTCTTTTTGTGTGTAAACTTACATGAGTTTTTACAGTAGAGGTCTCATACAGTATTTGTCCTTTTGTGATTGACTTATTTCACTCAGCATAATGTCCTC